TCTCTCTCTCATGCCAGAGCTGATGCCATCTAACTGTTCCCGTAGTAGGCGGACTATACACACTCATTGTTTCCCACGTTACTCATTGCCAGATCCACATCTGATTCCTCTTTTAAACATTCTTACTAATGCCCTTTCATCTAAACTCAAGTCTTCTTTTTAGCATTCATCCATAAATTTTCTCCAGACTGCCTCCTTTGTCCAGTACGAGTGTTCTCATAACTATTGCTTTTAAAGAACGAAGATCTGCTTTTTCATTCCTTCGCACTTCTGCATATCTCGGACAATGTATGCACGTGAGTTTCTGTAATGTTGAGGTGCTGTGCTTGGTATCCATTCATGCCACATATGTCCAATGTGAACCTTCCGCAGTACTGACTGAGAATTAGACACTATAATTCCCCCGGCACGTTTTCTGCTAACCGCTTCAGAGCTGCAGTGGTTGCCTGCACAAGGACTTAGCGTGGATGTATTGCCCGAGTTATGCAGGAGTTCAAGGCATTGAAAAGTCGGATTTAGTGAATGTCAATTGTTGAATTCAGATAGTTGTGTCTTGCAAGCATTATAAATTAATAAGGTAACAGAAAATGTATTGACTGGCATTGTGTCTTGCAAGCAGCAGAATCCGCCTGCCTTGTCCTTGTCGGCTGTGGTGCTTGTGTGTATGTGTCTGCATACGTAACACACACTACTTCACAGCAGCCCGGGGTGCTTGTGTGTATGTGTCTGCATACGTAACACACGCTACTTCACAGCAGCCCGGGGTGCTTGTGTGTATGTGTCTGCATACGTAACACACACTACTTCACAGCAGCCCGGGGTGCTTGTGTCTGCATACGTAACACACACTACTTCACAGCAGCCCGGGGTGCTTGTGTGTATGTGTCTGCATACGTAACACACACTACTTCACAGCAGCCCGGGGTGCTTGTGTCTGCATATGTAACACACACTACTTCACAGCAGCTCGGGGTCACTGAAATGCTGACGTGACTTTAGTGCTACATTATAGAAATGAGGACATGGCCTATTTATAGCCCTTTATCGCTGCCTCAGTAAGTGGTGGCTCGAGAGCCATGTTTGGAGACCGCGGTCGGTATATCATGCTGCAGGGGAAGCAATCACTAGACGCCCGCTGTCAAGTCAAGGACTCTCGATAGGGCTGTTGTCGCAGTCAGGCTAATGTCAGTGTGTCAAATATTTGTGGTTTGTTTTAAAGCCCGTTAGTCACATGACAGCAACGTTCCCTCAGCCATGAATGTTCTTGATGTTTTATTGCCGGTAGTCACACGACATAAACTTTCTTGGAGCAGTGGGTGTTCTTGTTGTTTTATCGCCTGTAGTCACACGACATAAACTTTCTTGGAGCAGTGGGTGTTCTTGTTGTTTTATCGCCTGTAGTCACACGACATAAACTTTCTTGGAGCAGTGGGTGTTCTTGTTGTTTTAACACGACAGCAATGCTCCTGCAGCCATGTGGGTTCTTGATTTATTGTCTTTAGTCACACGACAGAAACTTTAATGGAGCCATGGGTATTCTTGTTACACGATAGCAACGTTACTGCAGCCATGAATGTTCTTGTTGTTTTATCGCCTGTAATCACACAACATAAACTTTCAAGGACCCTTAGGTGTTCTTGTTGTTTTAAAACCAATAGTAGTCATACGACAGCAACTGTCATGTAGCCATGGGTGTTCTTAATGTTTTAAAGCCTTTCATGGAGCCATGAATGTTCTTGTTGTTTTAAAGCCCTTAGTCACACAACAACTGTCCTGTAGCTATGTGTGTTCTTGTGGGTTTTAAGTACATAGTCACGTGTCAGCAATATTGCTGTAGTCATGAGTGTTTTTGTTGCTTTAAAACCCAAAGTCACATGACTGCAACGTTCCAATGGCCATGGATGTTCTTGTTGTTTTAAAGCCCATAGTCACACCCCAGCAACGTTTCTGTAGCCATGGGTGTGCTTGTCGCTGAAGTCGCGGTAGATGGGTATTCAACATTTGCTCGATTTACCTGACCAGGCTTGCTAAGTGATTCACTGGGTTTTGAATGTGCTGTGCAGTAACTCTGGAGTATATGTATGTGGTCATATTTTTTATAGTGGTCCGGCTTTGCTAGGTACTTAAGGTGCACACTCCTAATTAAGCCACACTACACACCATCCTACGTGGGGGCTACGTGGTTTCGAGGCGTGGTGTCCGCCTTGAGTGCTAGAGGTTCTGGGTTCCATTCCCGGAAAGGGCTGGGACTTTTTCACATGGACTTGGACTTCTAGTAATTCCCTCAGGTCTCTGGGTAATGAAATTGGACGCCCGTGTGCATTGTTGCGCACGTAGAATATCTATTGGCAGTTGGAAATCGAAAAGCGTAGCCTAACGGCGCTGCCCGGGCAACAATTTGGAATTTAAAAATCTACCTAAAGTATTTCAGGATCCTCGGCGGTGCTACAGAGCCTGTGCACTGTGCTGGGCTTCTTCAGATTCAGACTTGAGTCAGAAGAAGAACGGAGCACTTATGGGTTACTACACGTGGGCCGTAATGTTGATCCGTGTTCAAACCTCAAACCAAACACCATCGGCTGTTTCCTAGATTCAGATACTGAGAACAGAAATGCCCAAACTTATGTGGAGCATAGGGATGTTAATGGTAGACCAGTCGCCCTATCCCCGGCATATATGTAGATCTGCTCTATTTAATCTCAGTACACAGTATAATGTCGTGTTTAATGAGGCGTTCCTTTTGTACCCGGCATAACTAGGCTTCCTATTCTGTCTTGGGTTTCTTTAACTCTTATCTTGGTTGTTACCTTCTTGATGCGGTTGCATCCCTACCCACCCTGCGTCTGCACACTGTATTGCAAGAACTAGTTCTGAAGGGCTCTCTTCCTTTGTTTGCCACGCTCTTGCACTTGTTCTAGAATGGCGTCTGTCCTTCGTACTTTAGCTCCTATGTGTTCTCAAATTATTTAGAAAGAAAATCAAGCGCTTTAAACTTCAAAGTCGTCAAATAAACGTTTTTAGAATGAATGCCGCAGATCAAGTAGAATAAAAATACCCCCAGTCTTCGAGAGCATGACCTCTTTTGGCTTCTAAACAGCATGGAATCTTGAAAACTGAAAATAAAGACCATTCCAATGGAATCTGGAAAAAAAAAAGGGGGGGGGGGGGGGGGGGGAATTAACCGACTGCAGATTCAGCACATTAATGTAGGAGCAAGACGGTGCATGATGCAGATACATTATTTAGAATGCTGTATAACAAGTCATAGTAGTAGTACATTTTACCCCACTAGGACATCACACAAGCGATAAACACCCGATGACACAATGTGCCACCATGTGGATGAGGATCACCGTGGAGAGGTCCCAGAAACCGCGTTCTGCCATTAGGCCATATTTATGGCCAGGCTATATTGCGGCCCCTGGCAAGAGCCAGGTTGGGGCTTCAAATAACGAAAAATGTCATCCTAAAAAGGACGAGTAAATCATGCTGAAACACGTCATAGTAAGAGTGATGTTTTACAAAATGCCTGCAACATGGTGCTGTACATATTTTAAAATCTACCTTTGGCACCTGTAATAGTGTCAGCTTTTCTGCCACTTGCTGGCAGAAATGTCTGTGGCGTATGTTCTGTGTCGACTATTTAATAATAAACAAAATTACCATAAAGTAAGCCAGCTGTTACCAACCTCGCCATAGCTCTTGAAGTATATATTCCCTTCTGCTTGTCACTGCACTTATGTCCCCTTGCGTTGAACTCTCACCGAGCTAGTCTCCTATTTCCATGAAAGAGCAGGCAGGGACAGGTTATTTTTAGACAGGTGTCGTATGTCTAAGAATCACACTTGACACTGTAGCTGCCCTTTCCGTTTGCAGAAACCTCTGTGCTGTTTAATGCATATTTTGAAACAAGAGCAAGCCAGATGTGAAGTCATACATTATTCAGACACTAACCATTGCCAGTAGAACCCTAAATAGATCATGGCATCTCAGAGATGGACTACACCAGCTGATTACAAAATATGTGTGGGTGTGTGTGTGTCTGTTAGTATGTGTGTGGTTGTTGTTGTTGAACATTGTTGCATAGAGTGTGTGATTCTGACGTTGCTTGATCTAGTCTTTCCAGTTATCAGCAGAACAGGGTTCAGTCAGGGTGTGAGAGCTGTGCATGTTGTGCCGAGTCGGCTGTTGAGAGAGGGACAGAATAAATAATTGAAGTATCATCTTCGGGAGTTATGGTCAGCAGCTGCAACAGTTTTATTAGTGTCAGTTTCAGCAACTGAGAAATCTTCACTCCAAGATGTGGAGTCAACATTGATTTAGGCAGCTGTGTAGACAGCTGTAGGTGAACAGAGAAACGGTACACAAGGCAGGGCAAGCTTTCTTAGCTATGGCTATGGTTCACATATGTCAAACTGAAAGGGAATTATAATAAGTACCAGACTTTGAATATTGAACTCTGGCATCACATCAGTACAGATGTATGGAGTTACAACTACTGATCAGCTACAAACATGAATTATTCACTCTAAATGGTATACAGGAGCTGCTAACATGGAGCTTTGGAAAGGAAATAAATAAATACTAGTGAATCAAGAGGCCAGGAAAAGAGGCTGATGTTGGATAGAGCTCACATTTAAAATGTATAATAATACTATATCTAGAATAAGATGAGGACATAGTGTGAGCTGGACATGATGTCAAAGAATAGGGCGACTTTGTGTGAGATGGTTTTGAGGGTCTATGCTTCACTGCTGTACAGAAAAGACTCATCATTAGGGAGGTGCTCTCCTGCTTGTGTAGTGGTTATGCATTTTGTGCAGTATTCATGTGTTTTTTACTCTGCCATTTACTGTGAGACAAAGGTGTCATGCAGATACATATGTCTTTGATTGTACTGAATCTTGATGCAGCAGTAACTTTTTAAGTATATAGCAATCAGTTGTGGACATCAGTGCAGGCTGGGTGGTCTGACGAGTGTTATTGCTCTTGTGTTTCAGCAACCTTACGCTTCATCTTTACCCCCACCAGGACAGTGTGTAAAAATGGAGGGTAAGTGATTGGCTGTTTGTTGTTAAAGAATTGTTTGTCTGGTTTTCACATGTTTTCAGCCTTTTTCTGTCCACCCAGCGTTTGATTTGTCCTGCTGTATGTTTAGCACATTTAAACATATAACTCTCTCTGTGTCTCTCTGTCTCTGTCTCTGTCTCTGTCTCTCTCTCTCTCTCTCTCTCTCTCTCTCTCTCTCTCTCTCTCTCTCTCTCTCTCTTTCTTTCTTTCTTTCTTTCTTTTCTGACATGACTGGCAGGAAATTCAAACTGGAAACATTGCCTACACTACAAGTTTGTTGCCACCATGCTTCCCTTGACTTCTGCTCTCTTGGCCAGTCCTGTAAATCCATCAAAACATGTCCTTCCTGTATTGAAACTAAAATACTACTGAAGAAAGAAAAAACACCCATAACTAACGGGGGAGGGGGGGGGGGCACTTTTTTTCTTCTTCATAATTCAAACATTCAAAGTCTTTTTTTTTTTTAAATTTAATGAGCAAAATTGTTGGAATTGCACATAAGAATACCTTAGGGTTCAGCCAATTAGTTGACAGTTTTGATGCAGCTGGTTTGTCAATTGTTTTCAGGCATATAGGCTTTCTTTTTAACTAATAGAAGCATTTCTTTTTTTAAAAACAGCATAGATTTAGTTGAAATGACGAGATAAAATATCTTTTGAGTCTGAGCTGTAAAACGGATGCTCATGTAACACTCAGGTTCTGAAACAGGACTGCAGTCCAAAAGTGGATGAGCAACCAGAACTTTCTGCTAGAGTTTACAGCTAGTGAACACACACACACACACACACAAAAAAGATCTTGTGTTTGTTACTGGCTGTGCAATGGATCACCATTTCCTCTGATACTGCTCTTTTTTGTTGCTGTACACTTTCAAATAATAACTGGATTATATTTTTAAAATGCAAATATCTGCCACTAGAGATTGTTTGCATGTGCCTAGAGTTTTATCTACAAATACAGCTGATTGAGGCCAGGCATGTTTCCTGTTTCTCTCATGTTGGATATTTGCTAAGGATGTTTTTGTAGCTGTGTGTTATCAGTTCCAAGATTACACTGACTGTAGCTCCTGTGTTGAGCTGGTGGCTTCCCAGGCTGCTGTATACTGTAGTGATAAACTCAAGTTGAGAATGTTGCAAAAACTAGGAACAAACGGTGGGTTATTGTTACAACACTAAACATTAAGACGGAGCAGTAACAATAGAATAAGAAGCATGAGCAACTGCAGGAGAATAAGGAAGTAAGTAGAAGAGGTGGTGATAAAGACGAGCAAGACCTGACAATTACACATTTATTAAATTGAGTTCCATTAGCACCATTAGTGTGGAAACTGTTGACTCTAAGGAAGCACCTATGGAAATGTCCCAAGTGCAGTAGTAAGAGTTCTTGGATTGATTCTTTCATTCACGTTCCATTTTTGATAGTTGATCCATTACTCCTAAAGTTGAGACAGTTTATAATTTCTTAACTACATCACACATGGTGAGTTCACTGGCATAGAATGAGTTCAGATTTATGTTTCTTAATCTGGATATGTGGGTACCCTTCTGAAATATGTCAAGATCTGATACTTCACACACAAACTGTTGTTCTTACTGTGGATGTGTGGGTACCCTTCTATATTAGTCATGAGCTGAAATATGTGAAGACCTGATACTTCACACACAAACTGTTGTTCTTACTGTGGATGTGTGGATATCCTTCTTTATTAGACACGAGCTGAAATATGTGAAGATCTGATACTTCACACACATAACTTTGTTGTTCTTACTCTGGATAAATATTATTTGTGCATGTTTGCTGATATCAATAGGCTCATTGGCGTGGTTTTACAGTTGTATTGGGTGGAGAATGTTTGAACCAAATGAGGGCAAATTGTGATGTAGTAGTCACCTTATCACATTCACATCCTTGGTACATGCAGACTTGGAAGACAAGGTGACATGTTTAATTGGGCTGCAGAAGCAGTCTGTCAGGATTTGTGTAATCTGTGGGGAAATACCAGTTTGTTGAACTTCTGCCATAGTGAAACCGGATGATTATGGGCCACCTGTTGACATGACATCTGATCTGTTGTAGTCATATATGAAGGCAAGATGTATATTGTGTAATAATTCTATACGGATACAATAGTTGAATGTAAGGCTTTTTTCCTTACACACAGGTTTGTTATTCTGTATATAACAGAAAGAAGTACTAAATAACGTGTTAAATGTGGGTTTTTTCCCAGTGCTGTGGCATAGCGATGCGATAAAAATGCAGTTTGTAATTTCAAGATACCAGTTTCAACTTCAGCTGTGGGCATTTAGGCAGCAGACCCCTCCAGGGTCATCTTACTGCAGGGGCCAGCTGGGCACGTGCCCGGGGGCCCAAGAGTAAAGGGACTTCATACAAATCTGCGTAAATGTTTAATATTATCCACCATCTAAATGTCATGGCTGTGAAAGGTTGTCCTAAGGACCCCAGCCACACTGGTTTAGCTAGGGGCCCATAATGCTGTTAAGATGGCTCTGAACCCCTTTGCTTTGATTTCATCAACAGTGATATTGGCAACCAACCACTAAACATAAAATTGCCTAGTAAAATGACAAACAGCTGGCAAAATTTGCTGGGATTAGTGCTGCAATGTCCTCTAAAGTTTACACAGACTAACTTTCTGTTTTTTAACTTTAACCGGAAAGTTAGTTTTTAAAAGAATGTTGGGTACAGCATGTCTATTTGTATACTCAGAAGGAACAAAAGACTTCTTATTATATGTTCATAGGGTGGGTTCTAAATACAGATCACATGTATTTTACACTCACTATTCATGAATACTGTTGTACTCTTACTGCTGTTTTCTGTCTGTGTGATTCTGTTAATGACAGATTGTATCTCATTGTTCACACCCTGTACATGTGATAGAGATGCTCTAGATGTTTTCTCTGTTGTTCATACCCTGTACATATGATATAGATGGTATCTCTGTTGTTCACACCCTGTACATGTGATATAGATGGTATCTCTGTTGTTCACACCCTGTACATGTGATACAGATGGTATCTCATTGTTCACACCCTGTACATGTGATATAGATGTTATCTCATTGTTCATACCCTGTACGTGTGATACAGATGGTATCTTTGTTGTTCAGACCCTGTACATGTGATACAGATGGTGGCTCATTGTTCACTCCCTGTACATGTGATACAGATGGTATCTCATTGTTCACACCCTGTACATGTGATACAGATTGTATCTCATTGTTCACACCCTGTACATGTGATACAGATGGTGGCTCATTGTTCACTCCCTGTACATGTGATACAGATTGTATCTCATTGTTCACACCCTGTACATGTGATACAGATTGTATCTCATTGTTCACACCCTGTACATGTGATACAGATGGTGGCTCATTGTTCACTCCCTGTACATGTGATACAGATGGTATCTCATTGTTCACACCCTGTACATGTGACACAGATTGTATCTCATTGTTCACACCCTGTACATGTGATACAGATTGTATCTCATTGTTCACACCCTGTACATGTGATACAGATTGTATCTCATTGTTCGCACACTGTACATGTGATACAGATTGTATCTCATTGTTCACACACTGTACATGTGATACTGATGTTATCTCATTGTTCATACCCTGTACATGTGATACAGATGGTATCTTTGTTGTTCACACCCTGTACATGTGATATAGATGGTGGCTCATTGTTCACTCCCTGTACATGTGATACAGATGGTATCTCATTGTTCACACCCTGTACATGTGATACAGATTGTATCTCATTGTTCACACCCTGTACATGTGATGGAGATGCTCTAGATGTTTTCTCTGTTGTTCATACCCTGTACATATGATATAGATGTTATCTCTGTTGTTCACACCCTGTACATGTAATATAGATGGTATCTCTGTTGTTCACACCCTGTATATGTGATACAGATGGTATCTCATTGTTCACACCCTGTACATGTGATACAGATACTATCTCATTGTTCATACCCTGTACATGTGATATAGATGGTATCTCATTGTTCACACCCTGTACATGTGATACCGATGTTATCTCATTGTTCATACCCTGTACATGTGATACAGATGGTATCTTTGTTGTTCAGACCCTGTACATGTGATACAGATGGTGGCTCATTGTTCACTCCCTGTACATGTGATACAGATGGTATCTCATTGTTCACACCCTGTACATGTGATACAGATTGTATCTCATTGTTCACACCCTGTACATGTGATACAGATTGTATCTCATTGTTCACACCCTGTACATGTGATACAGATTGTATCTCATTGTTCACACCCTGTACATGTGATAGAGATGCTTTAGATGTTTTCTCTGTTGTTCATACCCTGTACATATGATATAGATGGTATCTCTGTTGTTCACACCCTGTGCATGTGATATAGATGGTATCTCTGTTGTTCACACCCTGTACACGTGATAGAGATGCTTTAGATGTTTTCTCTGTTGTTCATACCCTGTACATGTGATATAGATGGTATCTCTGTTGTTCATACCCTGTACATGTGATATAGATGGTATCTCTGGTGTTCATACCCTGTACATGTGATATAGATGGTATCTCTGTTGTTCACACCCTGTACATATGATATAGATGGTATCTCTGTTGTTCATACCCTGTACATGTGATATAGATGGTATCTCTGTTGTTCACACCCTGTACATGTGATAGAGATGCTTTAGATGTTTTCTCTGTTGTTCATACCCTGTACATGTGATATAGATGGTATCTCTGTTGTTCACACCCTGTACATGTGATACAGATGTTATCTCATTGTTCACACCCTGTACATGTGATACAGATGTTATCTCATTGTTCACACCCTGTACATGCGCACATGTCGAACAGTGTGGTGTTAAAAGTTTTTCTCTCTAAATCTTGTAGCCTGTGTAAAGCAAGGTGTGCCTTTTGGTGGCTGCTTTTGCAGAGAAGAGGAGAAAATTTGTGAACACAACCGCTACTTATTCAGCATGCATTTTAAATTCCAGAAGTGTTTTGTATAGTAATTGCACTGCAACAAATGCCAGACTTTTGTGAGACAACTGTTTGTGATTGTCTCCTGTAGCTGCAGCTGGAGATTCTGAGCACAGATTTGCAGAGTACAACTTCTCTTCCATGCAGAGATGTCATGTTTGTGACAAGTTTCTCTACGGTTTGGTGCGCCAGGGCTTGCAATGTCGGGGTGAGTATTCCTTTCTCAGCTGTTACACAAAGGAATAGTTTTGTTCCAAGTGTATGTGTACTGTTCCTAGATTTAGGTCTGCAGAGAAGGAGAGAGTCCCACATGCTATAATGTATAGTTGCTGATTGATGTCTTCCAAATCACTGAGTGTTTTATACATAGTTTTTTAATTTAGCTGCACATTTTTTATGTATTTTAATTTGAAATTAGCTTAAAACATCTCATCTTTACACCATGACAAGTTATATGCAATTGTTGATAAAGTAAAAATCACATAGTCTGTTACTTGTTTAGAAATTATCTGTCATTTACAAGTTATTTTCAGTGTCTATGTTGGCAAAAGAAAGGTTGATTTGCTGATTTTCTATGATAAGGCCAAAAGATTTATAGGAAGTCTTTAATTGAATTGGTGTTTTGTTTGAAATAACTAAGTGAAATCAGAACACCCAGGCCATCAGAAAGAGGACGCACATCATTAACCCCTCTGTAGTGAATAGCTGACAATCTAGATCATACCTTGGACAAAATAGGCTTCAGTGCCACTTGTTTCATAAAGTATAGGAGAAGATGTGTGCAACTTGTCACATCTGATATATAAAAAACAGTTTAACATCTGTGGTGTAAGAAGGACAAAACCAATTTACAGTCCCGGGAAGTAAAGGTAGCCAGCGTGATGCTGACCACATCATTCATCTTGTGCTGGTTGGTCTGTAAAATATAGGTCTAGCCCTATATGCCTAAAGGCTTGGAAAAGGGTCCTTTACTTACATAATTGTTATGTAGCATATGTTTTCTGGACAGTTGTGTTATGTATTATTAACCTTTCAGTTTCATATTCAATGTTTATAATAACACTCCGATTGGCTGTTTTTATAAACGTTATTACCTTGAATGTAGAATGCGGTATGTGCTGTCACCGATTCTGCCATGCCCAGCGACCCACCGAGTGCAATGTACCACAGCTAGAAAGAGTCCGTCGGCAAAGTTTTGTTGCAAGTGAGTAGAAATCAGCATTTTTTGGTGTAAAAATGAAATTGAACTAAAATAAAAAGTCAATAATTCCGTGTGTAATCATGATATGAAGTCTACGACAATCAGAAATAGTATGTCGTCACTACAGTTTTTGTTTTGTGTTTGAGAGCGAGTAACAAAAGTCTAGAAGTGGATGAAGAACCAGGTTCTTCCAGCAGAACTTACAGCTGGTGAATGAATGCAAAGAAGAAGTTTTCAGTGACTGTGTCAGTTGGCTCTTGGGGACAGTTTTGATGGAGATCCTGGGGATCGTTTGCTGGAGCTGTTCACTTCATGCTTTGAACAGCACTCAACAGGCAGCTTGCCATTCTGCAGGTAGAGACTAAGCCATAGGGATAAAAACTTGATGCCATAAATCTGATCCTCTCGGCTTAAGCCTTGACCACACTACGAGAAAAGGAAAAGTGGAAAGAATTACGCAGAGCTAGTGGAAAACTGTGAGATGACTTTCTTGACAGCTTGTTGTCATAGCTTAGAGATTGCCAGATTTAACATGATAGCCCATGCCAGTTGACAAGGCACTGGATGATGGTGATGTTCAAGATTGTCACCGTGTTTACAAATAACTTAAGTCTTCTAGGAACTTTTAGTTTGAAATGGATAATGTTGGTTTATAACCAGAACTATTGTTGTTTCAGATGTTGTGTTTGGAAATGAGTTGACAGATGAAGTGGAGAAGTCCTGTATGGAAGCCCCATGGGTGCTAGTGAAATGTGTGGAAGAAATTGAAAAATGGTGCAAGCTGCACAGTAAGTACATCTATGTTGAAATCTCTTCTCATTATTAACATAGTTATTGTATTTTAGTTATCATCTGTGCATTTGCATATGTTTTTTTTTTTTTAAATCATTTCTTTGGTGACTTTACAGTTCTAAAAAGATATCAATTTACCTCATTAGGTAGTAATTTTGATAGTCAAGGAAGTACAAAGAATGAAATTATGACACACATTGGCAAGGCATCAGTAGCTTTTAAAAACCTGAACAAAATAGGGAACTCTAAATTGTATAGTTTTTAAAACCAATTAACATATTTTCAGATCTAATGTTATTTTAGTGTTAACATATGCTAGTAATAGTTGGAGAACCACTAAAGACATGGAGTGAAAGTTTCTTTTCTTGTTTAAAAAGCTAAAGGCAGTCCCAGAGCGGGTTTAGCCTTTAGGATGTGAAGTGCCAGACCGTCCAATTCCACTCCTTGTCATCTTTCCTTTCCAGAATATTCTTGAAAATGTCTCTTACCCATTGAAATGAAACTTTGTAGAGCCATTCAGGTTGGGAAAATCCTGCCACTTCTGGGGGTTGAGCCCAGACCTCTGTCTCAGCAGGTAAATAAACAAACCACTGCGCCATGGCAGCTTGTTGACAATGTTTTTATATGTGATGAATGTCTTCCACAGAGTCGGAGGCGATGAGTGTCTACCGGGTGTCAGCAAAAACAGAGGAGATCAATGAGATTAGATCAGCCTTCAACATGGGTGAGCCACCTCTGCTCTTTGTTAGTGTCGTGTCACATGTGTCATCATGTTGCTGGTTTTATTTTTCTTCATAAGTCATTGTTGAATGACTTCATTGTTGTTATTTCCTGGCAGACTAGCCATCACAAACTACTGGTCATAAATTTGCCTACAAAAATCACACAACAGCCAGGGGCTGTTGGGTTGGTTCTGCAATGTCCTGTAAAGGAACCTCTAGCCATCACAGAATATTTGTGAGACTCAGTTATGAGTTGGATTATTTTTACAACACATCAGACAAGTCTATAGGTGCATCCCACATTTAATAGGGCCAGTGCTACGCTGGTTGACAAGACTTCTCGTACATCCAGTGTACTTCTCATGTTTGCCTGTGCCAGTCTGTATTTCCATTTCTCACATTCTTAGCACTGATGTGGACACACTGCTCCAGAAATCTTCAAATCATCTGAAGGACATTAACAATATTGGTATGGTCCATAGAATGGCTATCCCCAACTAAGGCAGAGTTGGTCAATCTTTATTTCCAACAAACTCATGTGCCATGGGGCAAAGATGAAGGCTCCATGCACACTGGAGTTTTGCAGTGACTTAGTCCAATTTTTGCTTACAGCCTTGACGCACCAGGTCATGTTTATCAAATCACTCAGTACACACACACGTGGGAATAACCTTGTGATTCCAACCATAAAAGCTTGTTTCACTGCCATCATCTCCATCTTCATGCTGCTAGTTGTCATAGAGAAGTTACCACTAGCTTTCTGGACTGTTCTGCCTGCAGATGTGCTGTGAATGTGCATGTGCCCTCATACAATAGAACCATCAGTGTATATCAGCACATCTGCCTTGTCTGAATTGTTATACCATATGTTACATTCATTTTCACACACTGCTACAGATATATTTATTTACATTCAGCCAATAAATGTAGATATATGTATTTACATTCAGCCAATAAATGTAGACATTTCTCACTACAGGTCAACATGATCAGGTGAATCTGTCCACTCATGACGTCCACTGTATAGCTGGAGCACTGAAGAAGTATCTCAGAGAGCTGCCTAACCCAGTGATCCCTGTAGAAATGTACAGCACTTTCATTGAGGCGGCCAGTAAGTGCTGTAGTCTCTCGTATGTGGCTGAGATTACGTGTGGTGCATGTCTGAGCATGTGGTGCATGTCCACAAGGCAGCGGACATGTGATTTCTGAGAAAATGCCAGTGAGATCCAGAATACCATGGGCTGACAGGAAAACAGGCTAGGCAAGTCTGATGAGAGGATGTGTATGTAGACAGCCACAGTTTGTTGAACATGTCGGGAACAAGAATAAACTGGAAAATTTGGTCACGTCTAACAAACTTGGGGGGGGGGGGGGGGGGGGGGTGAAGATAAGACAGAGGATAAATATTTTGATGGCTTTGTAAATTTGGCTGAGGGAATAACAAGAACATTAATCAGATCTGTGATTGTGTAAACTGGTGAACAATGACTGTATGCTTACCAGCACATGCTCAAGGCCTCGTACAGGATATCTCAGAACAGAAGACACACCGTCAATGAATAATTGATTTTTAATTTTTAGTATATTTTTAAAGAAATAAGGTATTCAGTAAATTTGACTGCACACTTTGTTGTTTGAAAAAGTTACTTGCAGTGTACTCTCATACACAGTTAAAGAGAAGTGTAAATAAATTTTGATAGGAAAATACTCCTCAATAGTCAATACTGCTTGTATTTCAAAACAACTTGGGCCAAGAGGTTTCTGCGTACGTATATGTTGGATTGTGTACAACACAACACATGTCAGCAGATCTGATGTCAGTTGTTTTCCATGGTTTCTAACAGGAGAACTTGCGGAACATTCAGGAGCTTCTGTGCAGAAGTCTGTTGTTGACCTGGTGGATGATCTGCCGCCAGCTCACAAGTCCACGCTCAGATACATCTTTGCTCACTTTGCCAGGTTATGGAGTTGGCAGTGTGACTCAGATCTGACTGACGGAGCAGAGAAGATTATACATGTATTTTGTCATATACTGCTGAGACCTCCTTGGGAAAGGATTATGTGAGTAGATCTCTTGGAAACCTATACGCTTTCTCTAATATTTTCAGTTCTATATGAATTTATTGTTAGAATTATGAACATATGCCGGTGATTTCTCATGTAGAGGTTGCTGCAAGTGACTTGTGACTGGAATACCTATTAAAACATTTTAAAACTATTATATTGGGAGACCAAGCCTTACAAACTCTAGTGGATCAGTCACAGTTACACAGGCTTGGATATGGATGCAGAATGGCAGAGAATCGGCCGCTGTGGCCGGCATGGGTGGCCAAAAACCTGGGAACCAGAACTCCAGGATTCGCTGGGAAGACATCATCTGATAGTCCATGACTGACAGGATAAATGGAACAAAGCCAGAAAGAAAATTACAGACAGAGAAGCCTCATAATTTCTCTGGGAAATCTCTACACTCGAGGGTAGAAAAGGATTGACTAATTAAGTGTGTTTGTTGGGAGAACTTTGTTATGTTGGAAGAATAGTGTTATTTTATAGAAAGAAAACCATTGTTATCAGCTTGGGATATTACTGTTGCTAATATTGGAGAACACTGTTAAATTTTGAGAGCGTTGTGTGTTAAATTTAGTGAGTACTTTTTTTTTAATTTAGGAGAATAATGTTAGTTAAATTTGGAGAATACAAATTTAGAAGGAATTAGAACCTTGTATATATTAAATTAGGTGTTTTAACTTCAGATAGAAAAAATAGATATCAAATGTTGTAAAGGCAAATATTGGAATAAGTATGACTTCTAAGATATAGAAAGATACCATGTCTGCCAAGGCAAATCTTATTTAGTGTAACAATTTTTTTTGGGGGGGGGGGGGGGGGGAGAAGGGGATGTGCTACTAGTGTTTGTTGGGGGGGGGGGGGAGGGGATGTGCTACTAGTGTCAGGCGGGGACCTTTACTAACAACCTGTGGGCAGAAAAACCAAACATGAAACCACTTAGAAGAACTAGAAATAACAGGGAGAGATCAAATTAAAAATAAGAATTTAGAAGGACTAAATCTTCATTCAAGAAGAAGAGATCAGATGGTTTGTGAACCATGCAAGAATACCCTGCTACCTACTGCCACAGAAATTTATATTAAAGAAAGAAGTGAACACAGCTGGGGAGGGGTGACGACCACAGAGGAAGATGTTCACTTAAGGAGTTTTAGAGCCATTATGTGTGGCTAGTTTGCCAATCACATCTTCTTTCTCCGTCTATCCCCCAGTGGGGCACAGCTACCCACATCAGTTTGCTCTACTACCCTTTGCCGATTCATGCAGCTCTCCCCATCTTTTTAACTTCACTCTCCAGTTCCTTTCTCCGTGTGTTTTTGGTGTGCCTTTATTTCTGTGCCCCATGGGTTCCAATGCAAAGACATTCTAGTTATATTTGTAACAGGTTTTCTTAAGAGCGTGTCTTATCCAACACCAGCGTCT